TCCAGAGCTGTGGCCCCGACTCTTGCTGCATGACTGTTCTGCAGCTTTCTGCCTTCGTCCAAGGGATGCAGTACCTTTAGAATCAGTTATGTGAACATCCGGTTGGAGATCGGAATGCCGTATTTCACTGTGCTTTTACGTAGCGTAGTGCATGAAAACAGGGTGCGTTTAAACTACAGCCTCCTGTTTCATCCGTCCGTAGTAAGCGTTCTTTTATTTTTGTAGCCAAACAATTGGGTGTAAGAGGGAGAGGGCACGAGTTGTCTTTGCTCTGCCTGTGGAATTTATTGATGTGAGAAATCCAGGGTGGACATGAGCGAAAGGTCAGCTGGCTTTGCTCTGGTAGCAGCTAGCTGCGGGAGTGGATGAGCCTTAAGGCACTGCCGCTTCCCCCGCGCGTTCTCCCAGTGTGTTGTGTGTACAGCCACAGCTCTACAGCCCCTGCTTATCCAGCATGCTCTCAGTACCCCCTGGAAAGCGCTTGACGGGGTTGCAGAGAGCGGGGCCGCGCGGCTTGCAGGGCAGTGCTCGCCCCGTCCGCCTGCCAGCCTCCCTCCCTTGCGGGGCTGTCGCAGTACGGAGCGCAAGCCTCTCTCTGTTTCGGGAGATGCACGGCTGTGACAGCAAGTCCCCAGGGTGCTCTGACGGACAGGTGTTGGATGGCAGGCTCTTCCGTTGGGGTGGTCTCACCCGCTCGAGGTCCGTTGTTTCCTCTCTGCTCTGTCCTCGGGAGTGGGTAGCGTTGGGCGGTAGGCTGGCGTACCAGGCCAGGTCAAGCCTGAGGATACTTGTTCAGGAAGGGTAGCTGGTGCACTTGGGTGATGGATGCCGGCGGGGAGGGGCTGCAGCTCATCCTGTGCGGTTGTGGATTGTAACCCTTGCTTCTGTCTTATCCCGCAGGTCGGTGAGCTGGTAAAGGTCACAAAGATTAACGTGAGCGGTCAGTGGGAAGGAGAGTGTAATGGCAGACGTGGTCACTTTCCATTCACGCACGTCCGCCTTCTCGATCAACAGAATCCCGAGGAGGACTTCAGCTGAGTGTGGCTCAACAGTTGCGCTTACGGATGGGAACAATCTCAACTTGTTTTTATTGCAGATGCCATCAAGACTATGTTCCGACAGATGTTGAAAGCGGTATTGCTTGTATAAGCATTCTGATAACCGGCAAACCCCTGGGACTGAACACCACCATTCCTTAATCAAGGGTCATGTAATTCAGGGTACGACAGTAGGTAACTTGTGTGTCAAGTGGCAGAACTAGTACATGATTATAGGTTGTCATGCCTGCTTACGTCCAGGTGCACAGCAGACTGGACCTTGGCAGCAGCAGTTGGAGAAAGCAGTGACGTAGATGCTAGGGTAACGTTTATAGCTCTCTCCGGTCCTATTGCTTATGTTGCTTCTTCCTCAGGCAACGAACATCAACCTTAGACAATTCAGTATGTAGATAGAAATGTCACAGATTTATCCTGGAGATTTCTCCGTGGGTTTGTTTTTTTTCCCCCCCCTCCTGAATTCTCTGTCCCAGAAAGGCTGTATGGAACTTTGCACAGTCAGTTAACTGTGCACAGTCCTGATTTGTGTCGAGCCCGCTGGGGACAGCTGTAGGATTTACAGATGCTTACCATTTCAGTGGTAAATGACAGCAAATCAACCTCGGAATTCTAGAAGCTTCTGGACACTAGATTGATTTCTTCAGTACTGTTGATGCTTCAAACGTAGCAGCTGATTTTAAATTAAGATTTCTATTAACACACCAGTATCTCTTTTTATCCACAAATGTAAAGCTTATGGAAGTGTAAACATCCATATCAGTGCTGAAAAATATGTGCGTAGCACTTTAATGCATAGCTTTAAAGCAGTGTTTGAGTCACTAAATGTACTAAAATATTGACACTGCTTTCCAATAAAACTAAATTACATAGGGCCAGTTTAATTTTTCTGGAGTTCTTCAATACTCCTGTTGTACAATACTCTTTAACAGTACAAATCAGTGTCAAACATGGTGAACTGACAAACCAAATCATACTTTTATTTTAAAGTTACTCTGGGGACTCTTCTGGTTTAATTCCCATCTGTAAAATATTTGATAGTGAATTCACGAGGATTTTATTTTTAATAAACTAATGGAAAATACTTGTGTGCTTCTGGATTGATTCTCAAAAGGCATAAGAGAGTCAGTAAGGCTTGAGAGCTCGTAACGCAGATCAGTGCCGTGAGTAGGTGGCATCATGCACTGCTTGGTTTGTCCTTTCTGTTCTAATTATCTGGTTTTCTCTAACATAAATCAGAGTGGATTCAGTAAGTTTTGTAAACTGAAATTAAACACTGAAGTAACTGTCCCTTGCCTGTACCCTGGGTTGTTTTCCAAGCACAGCACTCTAGTGATCAAGCGTAAGCAGACAGGTTTTGTAACTGACTCTTCCGGAATAGTGTCAAACTGAAAATGTCCTGTTGGGTGCCACAAACCCTGTGGCTAGAACAGCTGGTTGGTTGGGAGTGCTGCGAGGGGTAGTTCCTGCTGCCAAGGCCGTTGCTAAAAAAGGACTGGTAACGCGTCACCTCGGAGCTCTGTGACGTGCTGGAAGTGCTGTTTCTGTTACGTTTAAGTACGAGGGGTTGTACTTCAGAACGAATCCGTCAGCAATCTGGCTCGTTCTCAGGCAGTGGGCACCCGCTGGGTCGCAGGCTGACGCCAGCCTACGTGAACCCTGTCTCCGTCGCCGGCCTCGGGGGCGCTGCTGAAGACTGTTAGAAAACGGACAGTTGTGGGAGCGGTGCAGGAAAAGAGGAACGGGAATCGCAGCGCTGGTCTGGCTTGGGTTGCCCTTCTGGTTAGGGTGATGGTGGAGTCTCCTAGCTTAGTACAAAATCTACTTTGAGGAAGAATAAGGAGAAGCTAACTCTAGGTTCTGTAACACTTTGGTTTCTTTAAGGCTAATTTGTATTTTTCCTCTGACCTTGCGATTTACGATGAGTGATTGCTGGGGTTTTTCCAATAACTGCGCTCTAAATAACAGACTCGATCCTGTGTTTATCAGCTGCCCGTATGTGCTTAGATTTTTCTTCAGGTGCTGTGAAAGGAACCACGATCTGCGTGTTCCTAGTGTACCACAGTTTGTTCTGAGTGTTTTTTCCAAACTGCGGTTAATGAAAGCCTGTACGTGGTACCTCCCCGCTCAGCAATTACGTTAACGTACCAAAAGAACATTTTTCTGAAAGTTTTATTATGCAAATCTTGCCTTTTTAATACAGAAACCGTAAGTTGAATTAACTAGCAAATACCCTGCAAACTGTGTAACGTGTTGTTTTTAAGACTGTGTAAACTGTGAGTATTTTGTACACTTGGAAAGAGCAAAAAGAAAGGAAGTAGAGGAGTCCTGATAGCTGCTGCCTCACCAGAACCCTGAGTTCTGTCAAGCAGTTTTTCTTACTCAACTGACACGTTAATGCAACTGGTTTCCACCCTTCAGCTCTCAGCCGAAACGTGACTTTGTTTCGTAGGTGGTAGAAACGCGTACGGTTGCGTTTGGCTGCAGTAGACGTTTCCACGTACCACGCTCTGAAAGGAGAGTAGGTGGAACATCCGTTCACGAACATGTAGGTGAAATCCTGTTGTGGCCTTTGTTTATCCCCTTTGTTCCCTCCCTTCTCCCGGCCGTGCGCAGAACCGAGGTCATTGCTAAGGACGCTGGTCACACTCTTTTGTCTCTACTTGGCTGTGGTTTGGGTCTCTTGTGCATAGGTGTTATTCTAGCAGGTGTTAGAGCTAGAATGATCGTTTCTAGAAACACAGCGTGGCAGCAGAATGCTCAGTGACACTGTGTTCTGGTGCATTTACACGTTCTACCACACTACAAAGTACAACTGGCTGCTATGGTTTTTTAATATGTTTCATTTTGGTAAACCCCAGCCTTTTTACTAATATTTGACCTGGTTAAATCTTGTTAATCTGTTTGAATTGTATTTGTTAATAATGCAAATATTTCTAATCATCTTAAAACACTTCGTTTTTGTTAATGGTTTTGGGGGAAGGATTCTAACCAAACCAGTTTGAAGAAAAATAGGAACATGTGCCATTGTATTATAACACTATCCACTTTCTTGACAGCTGAAGGCTTTTTTTTATTTTTTTGTAGCATGTAATGTATATGTTCATAGTCCGTGAAGTAAATAAAAGTGTAGCCAGAGCTTCGACTCGTGTCCTTCGCTGGGTCCTTGCAGTCGGTGCTGGAGCCGCGGGTCGGGGCGGTGTCGGCTGGCCGTGCTGCGTGGAAACCGTTCAACCTGCAGTAAGGCAGAGCGGGGTGACTTCGCAGGCGGAAAAACACGGCCTCATCCCAATGAGGGGGTTTCTCTACGGAATGAGCTGCTCGAGGCAAGGGGTGGGGTGAAGGGGACAAAAAAAAGGCTTTGTGGCTCGTGGTCAGGCTGCTGCCCACACAGGTGTGTCAGGAATAGTCGGGGACCCCGGTTGGTGTGAGTGCAAGGACAGAGAGCTGCTTGCCCCGCAGACTGACGAGCGGTACAAACGAATACCCGCCCTGAGATGATGGGCAGGTCTCCGAGTTCCCGTATGTTTACACAAACGTGGTGACTGTACTGCTGGGTGCCCACCGGAGCTGGTGGGAACGGCACCGCGTATTTTTGAACATCCCGGAGGTAATGGTATGTAACCATCTCTCTTTCACCAAAACCGGCAGCTCCTGATCGTATTTTGACTAAAGTGAAAATAGTGTTTTTCTGGACTTGGCACCTAAGTTAACCTCAGTCCAGACACTACTGTCTTTTATGGAATTCTGATTGCTAATCCTGGGATTTCAAAAAGGGTCGGGACCCAAAATGTCCCCATGGAGACACACGACTGATACTCTGGGTAGGCGGTGATCCAGAAATCATACTGTTAGTTTTTCGATTTATTTGTAAGAAAACCATGGGGTTACATTAGTTTTCCATACCCTAGAGCTCTCGTTCACTGCGATGGTCTGCGCTACGCCTACCCGGGGAACGATACGCTGGGTTTTTAGGTGCCCTGAATCGCGCTTTAAGCGCGTGCCCTCCACGGCGCATCAGGCCCCCTTTTCGGCAGGCGCACGGCGGGAGCGAACGGGACGCCTGACGCTGCCTCCCGGGGGTGTCGGGGCCTGCCCAGGCTCTGCTGCTTATCAAAACCCACCAAGGCCTTCGTGCGCCTGGGGGGGCCGAGAGCCTTCGGCCTGGGAGATGCTGGGAAGGAGATACGAGGCTTTGTTCGAGCGACCCGGAGCAAGGCTCGGAAGATTCGGTTTAATGCCAGCCGAACGTGACCCCCTTGGGTTTTCCCAAACCGGTCTGCTTTCAGAAACTGAGGCGTTACCTCAATTATTTAAGCGTATGCTCCATTTTTTCAGTTCTCTGTGAGGATCTTGGGAAACGTTAAAATTTTAAGTTCTCCTAGGCTTTTAAAACCGGGATTCCCGTATCCCACGTCAGCGTTGGAGATGACACTGCGCTGGAGTGAACACCCCGGAGCGATGGCAGAGAGCTGCTACGTCGGCCTTTCCCTCGTTTCTAGGCTCCCCGTGCTGCCTGCACGCAGCGTGCCCGGTGCTTTGTACGGAAGCGGCCGGCGAGGTGTTCGAGTCGTGCTGTCAGCGCCCGAGGGCGGCAGGAGCCGAGGGAGAGGTGCATGGAGGGAAATGCCATTCCCCGGGCACCCGCGGCGCCGGGCCTGGCTGCCGGCCC